CGGTAGTGGTGTGAACCAAACGAGTGCTTGAATGATGGCTACTTCGTTTACGATGGTTCTTTTTTGTTCTCTTCCTTCTTGTGCAAGAGAAGATATTAAGCACCAACTTTGAAGTACGTTATGTAGCGCTGAATGTGCACTACGCCCAGTGGCGTGTCACAAAGAGATGCAGATTTATATGCTGATTTGTTATTTTAGTTGAGCCTAATTGGTGGATGTAAGAAGTGATGTCTACGCAGTCTGTATTCTTCGTTAGGACGCTGCGTCAGGTTCGTTGCCAGACAGTTTGTGTGGGCTTCAAGCCTTTTGTGACAACGTTCGCTGATATGTGCTGTTTACGATGTTAAATGTTTAAGTTTCGCTCAGGCTGGTCTTGACGTAAATACAGCTGGTAAGTAGTCTTGTTTGTGCAGTTGATGATTTAGCCATTCGTACTTTTCGAAACAGTTAAATGTGCCTTTTTTCAAAATAGGACTCTTTGATTATAAGTCGACGTATGCCAGGATTTAATCAACAGATTTACTTGAAATTTGGGAAAGGTGTTCTTAGAAACGTTAGAAATATTCTTTACTATCTTATTTGTTTCAGTTCAATTTTTAGTTTCCTACAATGAAACACAAAGAACGATGTCAATGAAAAAATCACGAAACTGTTTACTTAAATAACCATTATTTTGTAAATGGAAAATTGTATTAAAATAACCATATGTCCTTAGACTTTATTTACTTCTAAAATCTGTTTGATGTTTCGTCATCAAGTACACCGTTAGACAAACCTTGCCTCCTATTGACCGTGGTATATTCTATAACTATTGATATTTTGTAATAAAAATTTTAGAACAATCAGTTCAGAAATGTATCTTTCAGTGGAGCACAGTTTGATTTATGTTTTGTTTTTAATTTAAAGAACGAGATTCTTGAATTGAAGCTTTCTTTTTGAAGTCTTTAGGTGAATCTAACCCTTTAAGAGTGAAGAAAAGGAAAATAGAGCGAAGTTTTATCATACCTATTGATATCTCTCCGAGCACGCGGTGTATTATGCATAGCAATGATGCATCGAAAGAGATAAATCTGTGGATAGCAGTGCTTTAAGAAATATTTAATACACAAATTGACCTTAAGCCCTGCAGTCGAGTTGTACTCGTACCTTATTTTATCCCATTTTTATCATTCTCAGTATATAAAGTGCAGTTTTTCTTTGTATTGAGACTTGATTTCACACGCAGATATGTAAGCTACTAATTGCGAAAATATGAAAATATAGCTAAGTTATAAAAGGCTTTTGAAAGTGGGGCACTGAATATGGACTAGTTACAACTAAACGCTGTTTGTCGAATGTGTTTTTGTATCAGTGTTTCGTGAAGTTATGCACATTTTGACCAATGTTTAAGTACATCGTCGGTTGCTAGAAGAGTGATACATTACAAAAATCGTTAATTTTGAGATATCTGCAAAAGAATAGCTCTAAAAGTGAACTATTATA